TATATATATATATATATACATACACACACTATATTGCCAAAAGTATTGGGACGCCTGCCTTTACATGCACATGAATTCTAATGGCATCCCAGTCTTAGCCCGTAGGATTCAATATTGAGTTGGCCCACCCTTTGCGGCTATAACAGCTTCAACTCTTCTGGGAAGGCTGTCCACAAGGTTTAGGAGTGTTTCTATGGGAATGTTTGACCATTCTACCAGAAGCACATTTGTGAGGTCAGGTATTGATGTTGGACGAGAAGGCCTGGCTCGCAGTCTCTGCTCTAATTCATCCCAAAGGTGTTCTATCGGGTTGAGGTCAGGACTCTGTGCAGGCCAGTCAAGTTCATCCACCCCAAACTCCCTCATCCATGTCTTTATGGAGCCTGCTTTGTGCACTGATGAGCAGTCATGTTGGAACAGGAAGGGGTCATCCCTAAACTGTTCCCACAAAGTTGGGTGCATGAAATTGTCCAAAATGTCTTGGTATGCGTATGCCTTAGGAGTTCCTTTCACTGAAACTAAGGGGCCAAGCCCAACTCCTGAAAAACAACCCCACACCATAATCCCCCCTCCACCAAACTTTACACTTGGCACAATGCAGCCAGGCAAGTACCATTCTCCTGGCAACCACCAAACCCAGACACGTCCATCGGATTGCCAGACAGAGAAGCGTGATTCGCCACCCCAGAGAACATGTCTCTCCTTCTCTAGAGTCCAGTGGCAGCCTGCTTTACACCACTGCATCCCACACTTTGCATTGCACTTGGTGATGTAAGGCTTGGATGCAGCTGCTCGGCCATGGAAATCCATTTTTATTATTTTTTTCTTTTATTTTTTGTCCATTCCATGAAGCTCTCTACACACTGCTGTTGTGCCAATCGGAAGGCCACACGAAGTTTGGAGGTCTGTAGCTATTGACTCTGCAGACAGTTGACGACTTCTGCACTATGTGCGCTTCAGCATACGCTGACCCTGTTCTGTCATTTTACGTGGCCTACCACTTCGTGGCTGAGTTGCTGTTGTTCTCAGTTGCTTCCACTTTGTTATAACCCCACTAACAGTTGACCATGGAATATTTAGTAGCAAGGAAATTTCATGGATGGACTTATTGTACAGGTAGCAACAGAAGTTTACATTACTGTGGATCTTGGACTTTGTCCCACTTGGCGAAAAGACTATGCTGCATCACTCAAAAATATAATATATTTGTTTACCTCATTTGCAGCCTCTGGAGATGTTGCTACAGGTCTGTGCAGCTTTTTTAACCATCATGGACTCTGCTTATGGCGCTATGTCTCAGTAGCAAAGTCTGAAATTCCATGAGAATTTCCTGCCGAGAGGTGTCAACAGCATGCTGCTATGTCAACTGACAGTGAATGATGGAAGATCTAACATAATGCACGTCTTCCATTGCCCTATCTACTAACTATGACGTTCTATGATAGTCACTAGAAAGCTTCAAGAGTCACAGCAGCTCTCCTGCATGAAGAAGATACATAGGGTTGACCATGCTGACCATGTGACTTATGCCTTGGAATAGGTCACATTGGTGCAAATTAACTAAACTTTTCTAGTTTGAGCTCATATACCTGGGTGGGTAGATTTGATTGGATCACCTTCATTGCCAAATTTTACCTGTGATTTTATCCAGGTTTATCTGTCCATCAACATCTTTTGTGACCAATTCACCAGGTTTGGTCCTGCCCCTCCTGATTCCTAAAGTCCTCTATTGGTCAAAGGCCATCCATTACAATAAAGCACCAATAGAAAGGCTAGGTCGGTGAAAGGACTAAATTCAGCTTTTACAGGAAAAGTTTTAATTATTCTCCTATGACTTGCTACGTTTTCCAATGCTTGCTTATACTATACTTACAATGTATTATGGTCAATATATATTTGCCCAGCTCTCTCTGGTTGTTGTATGTGTTTTGCTTTGCAGTTTTCTTAAACAATAAAGAAGCCACCAGTGTGTTGAAGAGTAGAGTGAGGAGAGCGAACTCCTTTTTTGAGGAGCTCAGAGCGTCCTCTTTGGAGCGGGAATGCATTGAAGAAATCTGCTCATATGAAGAAGCCAGGGAAATCTACAAGGATGAGCGACGTGTGGTAAACACTCCAATTTCTCCAATAAGATTACCCCATAATATTAAAGAAGCGTAAATGTTCTTAACCCTTTGCTGTGGGGCTACCCCACAAGTGCTCGTTTTCCTCTAGGGATGAGAATAACAAAGTTATACTTACCTGCACCTCAGAGCCGGCTGGCTGTTTGACCTGCCTCTCTGCTCCAGCGATGGAATGTCCCTCAGTGTCCTCACGTGAGTCCCATACAGTGTATAGGACTCACAGGACCTTAGATCACTTTAGCGGAGGGGGAGATAGGCTTAAGAGCCAGTCTAGCAGCCAGTCGGCTGTGCGGTTCGGGTGAATATATCTTATTTTCATCCCAATGAGCACTTAACCTTTGCAGTTCGGGGGTAGCTGTAAGAATAAGTGGTTGTGATCTTCCCATTGACCAGAAAAATAAATACCACCCATCTTGAGCACACATGAAGAAATTACCTATGTTACAGCAAATAGATTGGTTTCCTAACCACACATTTTTACCCATCCGATATACCTGACTGTGTATCAGATTCCAGCAATAAGCCACTAATTAGGGAGTTCCTGCATAGCAAAGCATCCCATCCCTTCAATGCACCCTAAATACTTAACTCAAAGTAATCACCCTAAAATTCTTCTTCAAACGCAGCACGTGGCCTTGCCATGTATACTCCTCAATAACCCAAAGCACCTAGATTGTTCCTTTTAGAATGAACTCATTTTAAGTGTCAATTCTTGTGTGTGTGTGTACATGGGGGGTAGGGGGGTATATCACAAACACTGTCACTTTGCTTTGAATGGGAAGAGTGTCTATTTTGCATGTTTTAATTTATGCTATGGTGTGCATTGTGTTAGCGCAGCCCATTCTTTTTTAACGGAGTGCCAGCATTGCATGTAAAATCAGAAATGAACCTTTATTTTTAAATGCAGTGGACCACAGCACTCAGATGGTTCCCATCTGTGCAATGTTATGCTCTGAAACACATATGCAGTGACATGCCCTGTCAAGGATCATTGGGGGTGACACTGCAACTAACTGCACTGCACACTGTCAGGGGCGTAATTTGAAATCACAGGGCCCCATAGCAAAATTTTGTATGGGGCCCTGTGATTTCTAGTTACATTCCTTGAAGAGCCCACATAGCTCACCTAAGGGTGACCCTGCAGAGCCCACCATAAACCCAGACGGCCCGCATGGCATCAGGGGGGTGTCCTGGCCGGGCCCCCCTGTGCCCGGGCCCCATAGCGGCCGCCTGGGTCGCTATGGCTATTGTTACGCCACTGCACACTGTATATTACCACAATGCATGGGTGTGAAGCCAGCCTCAAGGTTTTTAGCTTACAGTATATATCAAGGAAAAAACATTTTTTTGGCTATACATACACTTTGGGGTCTATTTATAAACAATTTGCAGGGCTTTTCACTGTGCAAAGATCGATACATGTTTGTTTTGTGGGAATACATGCAAAACGAATGTTAATTTTTTTACCTTTTTGCCAAAAGGCACAGTTTAAAGAAACGTTTTCCAACTATCTTGGGATATACAAAATCAGTAGGCAGAGTTAAAAAACGGAAGGCTGGACCAGGCAGCAGTTAATGGTTGTTCATATGTTTAGAACAGTAAATAATTGTTATTCGTATTACTCTTTTTCTTTCGCCAGAAAGAATTTTGGAGAACATACTCAGGTATAATAAAACAAAATGTTCTAATGGTGTATGTGTGGGGGGGTGTGATGATGGACAAATATCACATATGGTTATTATTTACAGATATTGATCAATGCCTCTCCAACCCCTGCTTGAATGGAGGTACCTGCAGTGACCAGATTCAGTCATATGTCTGCAACTGTCCAGAAGGTTATGAGGGTAGAAACTGTGAAACAAGTAAGCTTTTCTCTACACAAAATGAATGGTGATGGTAATGGTGACTCGGCTCATGCTAGATGCTTTAAGAATTATTAAATTGCTTGGAAATTGTTGGGCAGAATGTGGTCAAATGATGTAGTTTTACTATCTTAAATCAATAATGTGAGAATTTAAATTTTAGTCCAAACAGAGAATAGAGACATCTGGTAACGTACTTTTAAGGCCTGGTTCACACCAGCCAGCTGCCATCACACTGTTTACTTTTTTTTCTTAGAGCTTTATTGAAATATCACAAGTGACATTCCATTCAGTTCTATTGACAGTAGCGGTGTTGCGATGTGGTGGTTTGCATCGCAATAAGCTGCACTGAAAAAAAAGGTCTGCATGATATAATTCTTATCTGTGTACACCACCACAAAGCTGGGGTATGAATGGATCACATTGAAAACAAGGCTTATTGCCATGTCTATGTGTTGTGATTGCGCTGTGCAAGGCTGCCAGCGAAGCCCCAATGCATCTTGTATGAATGGGCATTAAGGGTCAAAACATATTTTTGTAGCAGAGACTGGTGAGAATTGGTACCAAAGTTCCAGCCAAGCAGTGATGTGCAGTACCTTCTGTGCTGGGTGAGGCATTCACCAGTCCTGCTCCCAGCATGGCCCGCCCTGCTCACCAACCCACCGAAGCCCCACCCCACCAAAGACCCACCCCCAACTTGGTCTGTGTGGAGGAGAGGGAGGAGACAGGGAGGAGCCTTCCTGTCCTTCACTTGCTCGTCACTGGTGTGGCATTGAGATCAATGTTGTCAGTGTATTTTTTTCTTTTTTTTGATTGGACAGCTTGGACCAATGGCTCTTTGCCATTGGTCCAAACCATCCACAGAGCTTAAGCCTCTAACATAGAGTAGAGGCTCTTGCAGCTCTTTCCTCGCTATGTTAGGTTGCACAGGGAGTGGGAAAGCCCACTGCTGTGTAACCTAACTTAGCTGTCAAAAGCCAGATAAAGTGCCTTCTGTAATTAACAGGCAGCACTCCGTCCATGACACGTTACACGGCGGGGAGGCTTTCCCTGGTGTGTAACCTGTAACAAGCCGATCTGATGGAAGAAAAAGCTGTCAGCTTCTTCCTTCATAATATTAGGTGAGGCTCTGCCTCTCCTGCCTCCCCTGACCTCATATCTCGGCAGCCAAGTAAGATAAATACTGATTAACAGATAATTTTTTGGGCTTAACTAGGTTAACAGTAAATAAGAGACAGGCTTAGTATCAGTGGTAATAAAAGCGAGACCTTCATGTCCTGCATTGTGCATGATGCTATCAGTGAATGGGTTAGATAAACGACTGCCAAAGAGAAGCAGCTTTTTTGGACTGATTGGCTGTAAGGAAGCTTGCTGGAGTGAGGATTAAGGCAAGCATTTAACTTATTACATGGCCCATAGATGAAACAAGCATTAAAGCCTAAAGGTGCCCACACACCTTGCGATAATCGTATGATAATCGCGGGAAATCGTACGATTGTCGGCGGGTGTGTGGCATGTTCTTAAGATAAATTGAATTTTAGGCACTTTTAGCTAAAAATACAAAGACATTTATCTACATTGAATTATAAAATGAAATATATTATATATTACATGATATGCTTAATTATTTATTTTATTAATATTAATTAATAATAATTTAAAAATGTATTATTAATTAATTATTCATTTGATTATTAATAAAATAAATACAGATACGTATTTAATGTAAACATGTGTGCAGGTAAGAGGCCATGTGTGCAGGTAAGAGGAATTAGGAAGGAAAGAAAGGAGGGGAGGGATGCAGCCCTGACCAGCCCATCTGAGACCCCTTCAGAGCCCACCATAGACAGTCTCAGATGGGCTGTGCAGCATCTATGGTGGGCTCTACAGGGTCACTCTCAGGTGGGTCCTGTGTCCAGCGCGTCACTTAGCCCTGCGTCCAGCACGTCACTAAGACCTGCGTCCAGCGCGTCACTAAGCCCTGCGTCCAGCGGCATGGGTGGGGGGCCCGACCTAAAGCTGTGTAAGGGGCTCCAAAATTTCTGATGGCTGCCCTGCTTGCGATGATCGAAAGCCCGCCCCACTGAGGGGTGGGCTTCCGATGACCGCAATGCCGAACGGGCAGTGTGCGCTTGCGCACACCGGCCAGTCCGGCTTTTATCTTACGAACATGCTACACACCCGCCGAAAATCGTACGATTCTCGGTGGGTTTTCGAACATGTTCGTAAGATAAAAGTCGTGCAACCGTTAGGTGTTGAATATATGCTTTGCCCATGCAGGGAAAAGCAATCATTTTAATACAGATTTCCAAGATGCATGAACTTACTTCAGTGAAAGCCTTTTTCTAGGGGTTACAATGTTTTTCTAGGCAGTGCCAAATCATCCACAAGACAATCTAGGAAGAAGACGGGCCCAGTGTATGTACAGGAGGCCCAGCTCCCCCCTTATACCTACAGTAAACCAGGGGGTAATGCAATTGGACAAAGTAGTACACCTGTCACTTCAAAGGGGAGGATGCATTGTAGGCAGTTGTCTGATGGGACCCTGTCAGTACCGACAATGCAAATAGGAGAGATTTTCTGTGCAAATTTTTAATCATTATCAGTATCAGTTAAAGAGACCGGAAGAACAAAACTGCTACCTGACTTGGGCTCCACCATACTCTGTTTCTAGAGTAACAATGCTTACAGCAAGATGTATCCACAGACACTTCCTTTCCTAGGGTGACAATACTTGTTTTAAGAGGAACTGAAGTCTGGAAGCTGTCCCCCCCAAAAAAAGGCAAGCAAAAGGACTAGTCAGCAGTATTCCCTGATGTCCCTCTTTCGCCTATTACTGATTACCATACCTTGCCCTGCACCATGTCTCTGTGTGGAGGGGTCATCTTGGTAGAGGCTTCCTCAAAGCCTCCAGCAAGTGAGTAGCACAGTAGTGAGGTCACCAAATCTCACTCCCAATTTCCTTCGACTTACAGTCAGAGGAAGTAGTGCCTTAGATCTCGCACTGCATCTATGAGCCTGTAGACACAGAAGTGCCTAGGCACACTCACAGACCAAGAAGTGTACTGTTTTTTTCAGGAGGAATTCCAGATAATTTGTAAAAATTTTAGGTACTGCTCAGGCACAATAAGATTACTAAATCTTCCCTGTAATATAGAAATTCTTCACATTTTGAGCTAAGTTCATCTTTAAACCTTTTCAGCTACACCAATGTCACCCTTCCTTGCACACTTCTCCCGAGTTAGACTGCAAGCAACTTTGCTAACACATAACTGGTGTATTTATAAAATGTTTGCACAGTGAACAGTTCTGCAGTCATCTGTGTTTTAGATTCACAGCACATTATGGCCACTAGATAGAGCCAAGCCATTATAAATATACCCTATACTGTGCTGGCACATTCTGATGTAGTCATTGCAGTAACCCTGTAATGTTCAGCTCTTGGAGTGCACACACATTCCCATAAGTTCTTACAAATAGTCTACAGGATGCACACAATGCATGGACAGAAAACATTAAAAAAGGGGAAAACTATTGTTTTAGCAAAAAAAAAAAAAATAATAATAATAATGTAGTACTCTACAAAATTAAGTGCTTTCTTGTGAGGGTTTAGATGTGTTTTACTATAACAATACACCTACTTCTGTGTACACCCATAAACCTGGTCTACGTGAAGCTGTGCAAACTGTATATGAAGGTCTGCAGGCTTTAGTGTCACTACAGTAATGTTGTGGGGCAAAGCAGTGATTGTAATCTCACATCCACACCTTTGTTCAATGATTGGTATCTTCTTCTAGTAGTTTTGTAAAAATTAATAAAGTATGATAATCTGTTCATTCCCTTTAGATGTGGAAGAGTCCATCAATTGTGAAAATGATAATGGTCAGTGTGAACAGTTCTGCCATATCTCCGCAGAGGAACGCCGGCAGTGTGTGTGTATGGAAGGCTACGCTCTTGGGGAAGATGGAATATCATGCATTCAAACAGGTGGGTGGTATAACACATTTAAAGAATGTCTAGGGAGCATTATTATAGCATTATATACACCTACTCACAGGGGAGCCAGTGTAAAAATATAAGCCGTTTGGGCAAATGGATCCAGGCATGTTATGCATGAAGAGACCAAGTCTTACAAGAATACACAATAATATAAAAATCCATGCTTGGATAGAAAAGTAACTGTTTATCCATGTCTAAGTACATTTTTAAAATAATATTATGTGTTTAGAGACTCCTTTATAGTGTAGAGCAGATCAAGTGATACGTTCCCTTCAAGATAATCTCAGTATTATTTAGTGCCAAAAGCATAAACTGGCTCAAATGTCTATGTGAACCAAAACAGAAGCCATGGTTTTAAAAAAGTATTTAAAGCCAAAAAGAAACATTTTGTATTTAACAGCTCACCAGTCCTTAGATGTGGTGGCTGCATTAGTTTTTTTTTTACCCTAAGGACATTTTCAGCAAGTACCTGTTGATCTTGCCAGAAATGCAGTGTCCATGTAATTTACTGTAAACTGAAATAAAAGCAAAAACAACGTTCTATTTCTTATGTAAACTCCCAACTAATCTCCCCAACCCTAATGTAATGGAGATTAAAAACAGGCAGATACATTTGGAGTCCATCATTAGTGACTACCATGGCTCCCTCCATAGGTACAGAGGAAGAGTGAGCGTGGACTCCCAGAGACAAAAATTATGTTATTTGCAGGCTTACTAGGTGAAACTAAAGGAAAAATGCCAAAAAAAATGAAAACATATGCAGCCACCTCATCTATGGATTAGTCAGCTGCAATACACTACATTTTGACTGTGTGGCAGAGAGCTACTCTTTCACTTTAAAGTGACATTAAAGAATAGATTTTGTTTCCCTCCCCCCAATGTTAGTGTCAGCACTTACCTTCTTTCCAGCGCTGTGGCGGGTCTCCGATCCAGCGCCGACTCCTCTGTGCTTGCTGGCACTTCCTGTCCCACGGTGTCTGCATGCGGGTGCACGCCGTCCATATACTTACCATGTGTCTCTCCTCGTCTCCCGGCTGAAAATCTGAACTGCGCATGCGCCCGCCCCAAGATCCTTTGCGGCCGCCCAAGCAAGCATTTTTCAGATTTTCGGACGGGAGCGCGTGGTGAAGACACAGGTAAGTTTAAACCTCTTTTAAAGCGTTTAAAAAAAAAAGTTTTTGCATATATCTACTGCTTGCTAGCAGCAGATATATGCAAAAAAAACATGAGGGTTTAATAACGCTTTAACTTCGTGTCAGCTGTAGGGGGAGTGCTGTGATCAGATACTATTTTAACCATTTGAAGATCAGGGTGTTAAACCCCCTTCCTGTCCAGGCCATTTTTCAGTATTCAGCGCTGCGGGACTTTGTCTGGCATTTATTCCGTCATGCAACGCTGTACTGACATTCATTTTATATAATTTTTTGGCGACACATAGAGCTTTCTTTTGGTGGTATTTAATCGCCATTGGGGTTTTTATTTTTTACTATATAACAAAAAAAGTACTGAAAAGTTTGAGAAAAAAACAGTTTCCATATGAAATGTTATTAAACATTTATTATCACCCCAATAGATACCAAACATGTCAAGCCTTTAAATTGTGTGCGCCCGCAAAATCGCTAAAAAAATACCACACCCAACATTGGTCATAGGCAATGCTTTTAAAGCTTTTACCGCTCATTAGTGATGGGCCGAACACACCCGAGTTCGGCTCGAGTTCGAACTTTAGAACATGGAGAATAAAAAATTACCTTAAACTGCCTATAAAGTGGCACATCTGTACAATGTATAGAACCTGCTGCAGCAAAAAGTGATATTTGTACACAAAAAAATTACATTTATTTAAAAAAAAAAAAAAAGCGTGAAGATCCCCCTCCCTCCACTGTGGCATTATCTTAGCATCCTCTCACCCCTGCCCGCTCCAATGTGGCAGTACCTCTGCAGCCCTCAATCCAGCTTCAGCTGTACATCATTGGTCTGGATTGGCTTCCTGATGGTGACAATGATGGATCTTAACTGCACAATGTGTGGCTGCTTGTAGTCCCCTCCTGTTGCACGTGTCACACAGTGGTAGCAATGTAGAGCTTTCCTTCACATTACTTCTTCACCACTAGACGTATCTAGTCTTCCAGAATTATGCAAACCACTTCCTGTAGGCTCAGACTGTCATGGGGAAGTTCAGCTTTAATTATGGTAATAGAAGCACATTTAGCACTAGCTCACCCATAGTGCTCTGGAAATCCTTTGTTACAAATGAAACAATTATTTGTAAAACAAAGATTAAATGAAAATGTCAGCTCAAAAAATTTAATATACCCCAAACTATTATAGTTTCAGTCTAAACATGTTGCCTGTACATGACAGCACTTTAGTGTTTTATGCTATAACTAGCTTGGATATTTTATAGTTCAATATCCATGTGGACAAATACCTCTGCGGAAGAAAAAGAAAACACTTTATCGGATTGTTGGTGGTGAAGATTGTCCTAAGGGAGAGTGTCCCTGGCAGGTGAGCTTACATGTTCTAGCTACAGTGGCATATTAATTTCTTGTCTGATATCTCCTGCTTGGTTACAGCACCAATGTAACTTGTCAGAGCCAACATGTGAAGCCTATCCTCTCTTCTCTGGCCAGAAATGGCCAGAAATGTAGGGGGGATTCCTCCCACTGATCCCTACTGTGAAGGGCATTTTTCCCACTGACACTCATTTTAAAAGGTCACTACACTGGCCATTAATCTAAGGGACATTCCTCACGTTGACCCCCAATGTAGAGGCCATTCTTCTAACTCACCAGCAATGTGGGGGAGCTTTCTTCCTGCTGACCATTAATTTAAAGGGGCACTACACTGGCCATCAATATAAGAAGGCCCTTTTCCCACTGTCTAAATATTTAAAGGGGCCCTTTTGCCACTGACCATCAAGTAAGAGGGTCCTACTTCACTAACCACCAATGTAAGGTGACCGTTCTCCTCTGTCAAGCAATATAAGGGAATTTATCACACTCTAACAGCAAATTACGTCAACCAGCAATAGAAAAGTATAACACACCCCAACAGCACATTATATCAGCCATCAAGGACAGATCAGACCACAATAGCATATAATAACACTAAGAAAAAAGCTGAAAAATATTATGCTGAAAAAGCAATTTGTAACTAATAATTGCGAACCAACACAGTACTGTATATGACAGAAAAGCTCACTCTCAGCCTCTTATTTTACATCTGTGGTCCGCAAAGAATCCCCCATATGGGGGGATTTAAACAGGCCCCCAATGTAAGAGTATTCGTGCTTACCACCAATGTAATGTTGGCATTTACACTGGCCATCAGTGAAAAAAGGCCATTTACACTGAGCACCACTGTACCTGGGGCATTAATTCTAACAACTAATTTAAACAATATAACAGAAACATTTACACCGACCATCAATGTGACAGAGCCATTTATCCTGACCACCAGTATAATGCAAGCATTCACACTGACTGGCAATGTAATAGGGCTATCCAAACTGACCACCAGTGTAATGCAGGCATTGACCACCAATGTAACAGAACTAGAGGTGCACCGAAATGAAAATCTTAAACCGTAAATAAAAAAAATATATCAGACCGAAACCGAAAATATATTTTTTTGTGCTAACCTATTTAAAATATTTTATTTTTGTGGAGGAGAGAAACTAGACATGCACCGCAATTTTCCAAAAGTGCCATTTTCGGACGATATTTCAGTGCATCCCTAAACAGAACCTTTTACAATGAGCATCAATATGTTGAGGGCAATTACAGTGTGCTGGCATTTACACTAAGCATCAATTTATCAGGGACATTGAAACTAACTACCAATCTGGGGGTATTTACTCTGAACACTAATGTAACTGAGGCATTTAAACTGATCACCACTGTAGAGTGGGCATTTACACTGACCACAAAAGGCCCAGGTGGCTAATGGTGTAAATACCCCCATTGCATTGATGGTCAGTGTAAATGCCCCCATTACACTGCTGTTTGTAAGAGAAGGGTATATTTATGGTCACTGTAATTCCCCCCTGTCAGTGTTGGTCAGTGAAAGAGGGCTGTATTACATGGTGCCAGTAGATGCGGAGTCCGCTATCATTGGTGTCAGTGGGAAAAATGCCCCAATTTTTGTATTTAGTGGCTACTCACCTGAAGCAGAATCTACACTGGACCTGCACTGCCAGCTCTTCTTAGCGATGTTGGCACTAATAATGGATACCCTCAGGTGGAAATCAGGCCACCCACACACTCTGAGAAGCTGGCTGGGGTACTTTTATTTGTGTACCTTGTCCGTAATCCAGCCTTTGAAGTCCAGGAGCAGCCCCTGCCTGAAATGGAGCGACATGACCTAAGAGGTTTCTGTATTGGCTGTGCAGAAATGATACTCTATGTCCTCCGGTGATCTGCACATCAAAACAATACATACATAACATTACATACATATATACATAACTGTCCAGAGCCATATTGTCAGAAACCAGTAAAAAAAACCAAAAAAACTGAGCACCTGGAGAAAACCTATAGAAACACAGGGAGGACATACAACTCCATTCTTATTCAGTGTCCCTACACTAGAGATAACTGGACCCAAGATCCTGGTGTTGCAAAGCACTATTGGAAACCACTTATCCTCCACGCTACCTATCAACTGTGTTAATTAAATGTTTCTCAAGCATTGCTTTTGTTTTGAGATGTTTATCAAGCATTGTTACATTGCAGAGTATAACCATTATATATGTTTGCAGGCCAGACTGGTCTTAGACAAAACACATGAAACTATTTGTGGAGGGACTTTAATCGCAACAAACTGGGTTGTCACTGCGGCACACTGTGTAAAACCAGCTTTTGTAAACGCATTAACTGTTGTACTTGGTAAGTATAAATGAGAATAAAACAAAATGAGACAACCTGTCAGGATAGACATATAAATAGTTGAAGTTGACAGGTCGGGGCTGTCACTATTATCTTTAATTTACTAAATTGTAAAACCCAAAACACATATGTGCAAATCCGGCGTTCTGACACAGGACAGCACCTTTCTAAGTAGTGATATAAGAGGATGACAGCCCTTGAACATTACCATAAAAAGTCAGTTTCTACATTTCTCTCCTGAAACATTCCATAGCATCTAATCTAAATAAAGGGGCATTAGATAAGTGCCTTGAAGCAGAATTGCATATTTTTGCTCCTGCCTTCTTCATACAACATTTTTCATCCCACAGTAGTGCAAGCAAGGACAGCCTAAATGACAGTGGCAATTCAGGAGCAGTGCAGCATTGTTGCCACCCCATCACAGGAAGTTGCATTAGGTGAACTTTACTGGCAGGCATAACAGGCATTTGTAGGAGAACCGTAAGGCCATAGTTCTAATTCAATATTCTGATTTCTAATCACTACAGTGTAAATATTACTATTATTACTACTAATATTGTTATTTAAATTCAAATGTTCTTTTCATTTGCAGGTGACCATAAAATCAGCAAGTTTGAAGGCACAGAACAAGAGCGTAAAGTAGTTGAAATAATTATTCATGAAGATTATCGTAAGGTTACAGCAAACTACGACCATGACATTGCGCTTCTTAGATTAAATGCTTCAGTCAATTACACAGACTATGTGGTTCCCATGTGCTTGCCAGAAACACCGTTTGCAGTACGGGTTCTCTTGCATCACGGCAGCACTTCCACAGTCAGTGGCTGGGGTCGCCTTTTGGAACTTGGGGTAACTCCTGACATCCTGAAAAGGGCAAAGCTGCCTCGAGTTAAGAGCCAGCAGTGTAGAGAACAGACAGGATTAAATATTACAGAAAATATGTTTTGTGCTGGGTATACAGACGGCTCCAAAGATGCATGCAAAGGTGACAGCGGTGGTCCATACATCACAAAATATAAAGAAACGTATTACCTCACTGGTATTGTCAGCTGGGGCCTGGGGTGTGCTAAAGTAGACAAGTATGGTGTTTATACAAGAGTGTCCCGATACACAAAGTGGATAAATGAGCACATGAATATAACCAATACTTGAATGTGTTTATTATCTGACACAAACTACACCTATTTAAATATGCTAATTAAATGTCTGTGAATCTTTGTTACATAAAATGAATATTCTGTCATTAAAGCTAACCTGTGACCTACACAAAACAGATTATTAAATTAATTTCAGGGAAAAAAGTAAACAAATAAATGTGGTTTATTGTATTCTCACGTTTTTCATGTGTGCCTAAATGTGTCATCATCATATGTATATAGATTATGGAGTCTATAACATGTGTACAATCATAAATCATGCTTACTGTGCTTCAGTGGTGCTTGCTTGGGGACCAAATGTTACCGCGTGACTGGCTCTAGATAGCTACAATCATTTTAGTGCATAGCACTTACCATGCTATTCCATACAAAAGCATATTTGTAAAACATAAATCAAGGCAACTGGACTTGATGTATTTTTCTTGAAGATGTTTCACTGGTCATCCGACTAGCTTTCTCAATTCAGAATTGATTTATTGTCTACAGATATATCATGGACTGGAAAGAGAACCTTCATAGATATACAAAATCAGGAATGTAGCTGATCGTTTTCATGACAGCAATATAACAGCTTACATGACAGTAAATATACATTAAAATTCAGATTTTATTCACACCACTCTACACATGGACAATGCCATTCCTATCCTAACTGGGACTTCCTCTTACTGCACTTAATATTTTCAGTAAGGGAAGTGCCACACTCGTCCACAGGGTTTTCTCTGATTAAATCTATATGGTAGACATCCCCAAGGACTCCTAGATATAGCTTGGAGACATGAGGGCAAGAGGTCAAACCTTACAAATGCATAATCAAACATATTGCTGAGATGCATGATAGGATAGCAGCAGTCATACCCATCATTCACGAAGATATGCAGCAAGCCTAGGATGAACAGGCCAGAGTTTAAAATTTAGAAACGTATATCCTGGAAGAGTCTTAGTTTTGGTGCCCACTTTAGTCAGTAAATTTCTAGCAAAGTGGCAGGGATTCTATGAGATAAGAGAGAAAAAAGCAGTGATGATGTGAAGTAGCAGGGTTACCTGCAGTGGTGTATCTACCGCAAGGAAAACTAGGCACTTGCCTAGGGCGGCACTTTCTAGGGGGGGTGGCAGAAAATGCTGCCCCAAACCAATGAGGTAGACAGGGCCGAACTTGCCTCTGGGCGTACTGGGCTTTTGCCCAGTGGGCCGAGGCTGGGCGGCACAGAATCAGGCAGCAGCGGCTGCCTAATGATGCAAACTAGGCGGCCGCAAGGCCCTAAGAGCAGCTGCCTAATTAGAGAGCTGCCCGGTGGAGGGGAGGGCCCAGTGAAATGTGGTCCAGCTGGCTTTGTACAGGAGGTGGAGGAGAAGCAGCGAGTGGCTCTGGGCTGGCCATAGCATGTGATCTGATGGCGGGATGTCACAGAAGCAGGCTGTTGACTGCAATGTATCCTGTTGGTACTGATGGCACTTCAAGCTGCAGGTAAGAGGAGCAGCACATGCATGCAGGGAAAGGGATTAGGCACAGTCCTCCTGAGAACCTGCACAGCCCAGCATAAACCCCACACAGCCCACCATAAATTCTGCACAGCTCTCCTGAGACCCCGTGTGCGCTGTATCCAGTGACTGACAGGTTGTGCAAAATGTCCTAAACAGGATGGGGTAAATTTAGATTAAGGGGATGCCTAAGTTTAGTCTTGCCTAGGGCAGAACAAAACAAAAATATACCACTGGTTACCTGGCTGACAGGATGGTGGATTGTGTACATGTCACCTAGGTTTCTCACATACACATAGTGAGAGGCTTCAGTGTTTATCACTGATTTTTCTTTTCTGGGTGATGGAGGTCTTGTAGAGCGTTGGGTGGGATAAAGAATCGAAATTCGGACGAATTTTCGGAAATTCGGACATTCGGATGTATCCGAATTACGAATTACAGACATAACGAATGCAAACGAATCCGAATTTCCATTTCCGAATATATATATATTTATATTAGGGATGCACCGATACCACTTTTTTAGGACCGAGTACGAGTACCGATACTTTTTTTCAAGTACTTGCCGATACCAAGTACCGATACTTTTTCTTAAAGGGACAGGTCACATTTTTTCTAAAGCAATACAAAATCATGATTTTAGGTCAGTTTCTTAATATTATGAAGAACATGAACATGAAATGAACATGAAATTAATATTTATCATGCCATTGCTAACTAAGGCTTGTATCTCCATAGTGGGGAAAATAGATGAGCACATGTCCAGACTGTAGTGTGGCACAGCTGTAGTGTGGCACAGCTATATCTAATTCTGCATACCTGGCTGTATATTATACATTAGAAAATGTATAATATATACAGCCAGGTATGCAGAATTAGATATAACTGTTCCACACTATACAGTGTTCTGGTCTGGACATGTGCTCAGCCTCATCCCTTTTCCCCACTATGGGGATACAAGGCTTGTCTTTTTTCATACATAAAGCTAAATAGCATTACAGCAGGCAGATATATATAATTTTTTTGCCATCCTGTGCCCAGCACCAGCAGTGCTGCTAACCTTCTTCTCCGTCTTCTCCGTCTGCTTCATCCACTCCGTGTCACAGCCTAGTCATCTGCTCCATGCTGGCCTCTTCTCCTGCTGATTATTGGATTGGATCATTGACAGGCTTCCCCACCAGTCAGGAGTGAGGACTGAGGAATTGAAGGCAGAGTTTGCTTTCGTGATATATGTGTTTATTGATTCTGCGCTGGATATGTGAAACAAAAATTCTGTGTCCTTAAAATTGTTTGCTTTCAGCCGTTCGCCCGTGGAGGAGGAGGAGTTTGCGGCCATCTTGCTTGAATGCAGACGTGGTCCTGTGTGCGGCGGTCGAAGATGGCGGACACAGGTACTCGTTTTAGATATCGGAGTATTTGCACGAGTACGAGTACTCATGCAAATACTCGGTATCGCCGCCGATACCGATGCTTGTATCGGTATCGGTGCATCCCTAATATATATGGTGAGCGCTTTAAGTATGCAGTCCACTCGCAATATCTTCCTTTTTAAGGGCCTTGTAGCCCACTTTTATTTAAAGGAAAGTTCATACATCCACCTTGGATACCATCACAGGGGTTGTTCAGTACAGCATCCATGTACGGCTTGCAAAAAAGTTCATACATCCACCATGTATGGGGCCCTGTGATTTCTAGTTACGCCCACCCGATAACCCAAACAGCCCTCCTGAGAGTAACCCTGCAGAGCCCACCATAGAGTCTATTGTGGGCTCTCTAGGGTCTCAGATGGGCTGGTCAAACCCTCTTACCTGTCAGCCCAGATCCACTGTCCGCCTCCTCCTCCATGGTCGCTGGCGGGCCCTGCCTCCTCTGTTGATAGGCCCCACCTCCTCCATCGCCAGGCCCCGCCTCAATCGCTGCCTCTTCCTGGCTCTCACTGACTCAGCAGCAGCTGTGAGGAGGAACATGGCGCTGCATACATCACTGACAGGTTGTCAGTGATCTGAACAGCGGCGCGTTCCTCCTCACAGCCGGCAGCTTGAGATGCCATAGCGACCCAGGTGGCCGGCATGGCATCAGGCAGATGTCCTGGCAGGGCCCCCCCGTGCCCTGGGCCCCATAGCGGCCACCTGGGTCGCTATGGCGATTGTTCTGCCACTGGTTGTGGTGCAAAGGCAACCCATTCATAATTAATGGACTGCCTTAATAAAACGCATGTTCATGTACTCGCATTAATGCACCGCAACGGAATGTGAATGGGCCCTAAGAGGAAGAATCTATAAAGTCATTAAAAATGACACCGAAAGCATGTAACGATTTCTTATATTTCCCTAGTACACCAATGGAGGGGTCTGTATTTTCCCAGGGCAGCACATCAACATAGCAATAATAAGATGGACCACCTCTCACTGCTGGATTTATAAGTTAGTATTAAGAAAGCAAAAGTATGAGTGTGAATGCTTCTTAGTGGGTAGTAACAGCTAAAACGGCAAGAAAGGCCTGACATTTTGACAGGAAGATGTAAATCCCAGCACTAGTGGGTGGCTCAGTACTCAGTTTTTGCGCATTTTGTATGTGAGCTTCATACTATAAAGAAAAGACCAGTCCCTCCTTTTCAAGCACACTGGGAGACAACATGGAAGACTCTACTCTCTGCAATTTTGATACAGTTATATCTTTATGACCAACGGGACCCCCAGTATAAAAATAGAGGAAGGAGGAACCATGCCTGGTCACAACTTGCTGGCCAGATTTGGCCTGACTGGAAATCATTCAGTCCGTCCATCAAAGACAGCAAAGGTAAAACATGTGCATGTGACATGGTGCATGTAACTGCTTAAAGTTTGTTGTGAGATTTCAGCTTATGTTTTTGCTTGCTTGTGCCACTATTGTAGGTGTGTGCAGCTTCTTATCTCCACATGTGGTGGAACTACAAATTCCAGTATGCCTCTACCTCTGGTGCCGTGCCTGTTGCTTTAAAAAGAGACTTTCAATGCGTCATAGGACTTGTAGTTCTGCAGCAGCTGAAATGCTGAGATTGCTAACCCCATGGCTAATGTGTAGGAGTCTAGGAAATATTGTCATTAGGAATCTGCACATGCATAGCTATCTAGACAGGCCTTGGCAAGTTTATTTTGGGGAGAGGAACTATGCTCAACATACATGTTTCAATTTGCCTAGACAATCGATGTGCAATCAACCATGCACATATTTTGACATTTAAACGATCCCATCAATCAGAATGCAAGCAGGCATGCCTTTTCACAAAATATCATTTGGTAAATCTAAAGCGATTGTACAATCAGATTAGAATGTGTGTGGTGAGCTGTATTAACGCATCTGTGCTCAAGTGAAACAGAAATTAAACTAAACCCAAATGTAAAAATATCTAAACTCTATGAAAAAAGCCAACTCTTTGAAATAAATTAAAAAGGAAAAAGCATGCTTTCGTTTTAAACAATGTTATATTTTGTACAGCAAACAACAAAACAAATTATAATCAGATATATTTTC